GGGTAGAGCCGGCCCGCCTATACCGGGCCCTCGGTCCCATAATGTCAGCAGGGGGGGCCATGGACAGAGGGGGCTCTTACCTTTCACAGCAGCCAGGGGCATACCTAGGGTTGCCACCTGGAGAGTCTGGGGTTTAAGTCCTGTATGTGCTATGCCCGGGTTTCAGGGCAGCTGAAACCCAGACTCAGGATGTCATGGCCAGGTGGACAGCGGCAACCACAGGGTCCTGGTGTTCAAACTTGATTGCATGGAGGAGGCACAGGACAACGAGGGCTGCTGGAACTGAGGAAGCAAGGAGGTGTCGAGCACATGCTCTCCCCTGGCTGTCTCCCCTCACTCGCTCCCTCCCCTGGATGTCTCCACTCACTCTCCCCTGGCCGTCTCCCCTCACTCTCTCCCCTGGCCGTCTCCCCTCACTCTCTCTCTCCCCTGGCCGTCTCCCCTCACTCTCTCTCTCCCCTGGCCGTCTCCCCTCACTCTCTCTCTCCCCTGGCCGTCTCCCCTCACTCTCTCTCTCCCCCTGGCCGTCTCCCCTCACTCTCTCTCTGCCCCTGGCCGTCTCTCCTCACTCTCTCTCTCCTGGCCGTCTCCCCTCACTCTCTCAGTGCCCAGTGGTTCCCAGGTCGAATTTAAAAAAAAAAAAAGTTTAGTAAAGAGCATGAAAGGGTTAAAACTCATCTGTATTCCTTCACTTCCTGTCCTGGAGATATAAATAAAAGCACACAAGTGGTGCCAGCACAGATCTTTACTGGGCTTCTAGGGTGCCCATTAACTCCAAAACCTGGAGTGGTTTATTATGTAAAAGCTGAAGTTTTGCCCTCTTCTTTTACCCTATTACAGTTCAGTAAGACCAAGCTTCAGGTGAGGAGAAGGTGGGTAAAAGTAACACTGTCTTTGAGACTGAGCATTAAGCATTTACCTCATTTTATACAGCACACCACATTTTTAGGCCTAACGGAGGATTCTAGAAAACATCTACAAGTATGTGTGGACACCTCTGGGGTACCGGCATTAAGATCAGGTTCTCAGTGTAAAAATAAAAAGTAGTGCATATTCACTTCCAGTTTCCATAGAACTAGTCCCCCTGAAAAGTCCCATAAATACCTGTTGATCCTGCCAGTAAAGTCCACCTAATGTAACTTCCTTTGCTAAGGTGAAAACAATGCTGCATTGCTCCTCAATTCATTCTCATGTGGCCTGCACCCTCCACCCCCATGATGATCGGTGACTGATTGTGGCTTGGAAATGTCCCAGAATACCTTTTTGTTCTACTTTCTGTTCTCCCACTCCAGTGCTCTGTGCTGGCAGAGCTGAGTAACAGGCACACTCCTGAACTTTAGTGCCTTGACATAGACTTGTATTGTTGTTCTGCTTTCTGTGCTCCCACTCCAGTGCTCTGTGCTGGCAGAGCTTAGTAGCAGAAAAAACTCCGGAACTTAAGTGTCCTCACATAGACTTTTAGGGAAATGGAGGGTCGTGTGACCACATTTACTGATGCGGATTACCGAGTGCACTGGGTCTAACTGTGGAGCCCGCTGAACAGCAGTCATATTTAGATACACTACACAACTAGGTGCAGGGTATCCAAATAGTGCCTGGCATGTAAAAAGGGAGGCCGTTAGTACACTATCGTACTGCATATGTAGTTCTATGGCTTCAATCAAGCTTTAAAAAGAAAAAGCAGTGTCTGAGTCACATTATTGGCTATGCTGGGAAGCATCTAGCTTCCCAGCATAGCCAGTACGTCTGTATAGTGCACAGAACAAAAGGGTTGGTCAGTATACAAATCGATTGGTCACAGGAACTGGCTGCTACATGTACCATTACATTCATGGCTGATCTGATTTAAAATGGCCTTCTACATTGCGTACACCTGACCCAGTAGAACACTCAGTCAGTCACCTAATAACCAAATTTTCACATGCCCCCAGCCCCCGTCCCATGTACAATGACTCACCAAGAGTGCTGTAATATAAGTGAATCCCGCAGCAGTAGTGACAAGGATTGGAATGGACCAGTCATCCCAGTGTCCTGTTCTATTGTATAAAAACCTGTAGAAGATTAAATAAGAAGATTAATGTTGAGATTATTTTTTGTAAATATTTTAATTACATTATTACAAGTGCAACATTTGTCTTTTTTTTTTAATTAACAAATATTTAATACAGGGTACATACGCGGCACTGTTTGCACATAATAGTGGGTCCTGCTGATACCATACTGCTAACACCACTGTCCCACCAGACCTTCCTGTAAAATTGTGCTAAACTCTATTCAAATTATTTTTGCCTTAAAAAGAATAGCTCTTAGCTGTCCTAGTTCTCCTTGGGGAGAGTTCCCCTACACTACTAAAAAAAACCAACAACAAAAAAGTTCTCTTGTGATCTGTGCCCCTCTTGGAGTTTTTAATCTCGCTTCCTGTCCCAGTACCAAAAGAAGTGAAGAAAAAACACTATCCAAAATAAAATAAACTTCTTGCTGTAACAAAGAAAATATTGTGTCTGGTCTGTATACAGGAATTGGCAAAACAGTGCCATTTTCACAGGTTTGGAATAGTGTGCGACTTGCTTTAGATAGACAGGTTGGGGTAGAGAATTCCATAGGACGGGAGAGACTCTAGTGAAGTCCTGGAGGCGAGCATGGGAGGAGTTGATGAGGGAGCTGGAAAGCCGGAGGTCTTTTGAAGAGCGGAGGGGACCGTTAGTGTGATGCTTTGAGACCAGGTTGGAGATATAGCCGGGGGCTGAGTTGTGGATGGCTTTGTAAGTGGTTTTTAATCTTTAGATTTTTATCCTTTGGGCTATTGGAAGCCAGTGTAGGGATTGGCAGAGGGGGATGGAAGCCAGTGCAGGGATTGGCAGAGGGGGGTTGCAGACACTGAGCGGTTGGTTAGGTGAATGAGTCTAGCAGCTGCATTCATGATAGACTGAAGGGGGAGGAGCCTGTGTAGAGGTAAGCCAATGAGGAGGGAGTTGCAATAGTCAAGACAAGAGATAACAAGCGAGTGAATGAGTAATTTTGCGGTTTCAATGGTGAGGAAGGGGCGTATTTTGGAGATGTTGCGAAGGTGGAGGCGGCAGGATTTGGATAGTGATTCGATGTGGGGAAGAAAGGTGAGGTCCGAGTCAAGGATGACACCTAGCACCTTGGCATGGGGGAGGGTTGGATAGTTGTGTTATCAATCTCAAGGGAAAAGTTAGGGGAAGGTGCCCGGGGTGGAGGAAATATCATGAGCTCAGTTTTTGAAAGGTTGAGTTTTAAGAAGTGTTGCGACATCCAGACTGATATGTCAGTAAGTAGATTAGCGACACGCAAGGATACTGAGGGGGAGAGTTGCGGAGTAGAAAGATATATTTGAGTGTCAACGGCATAGAGATGGTATTGGAAGCCATGTGAGGTTATTAACTGACCAAGGGAGGAGGTGTGGATAGAGAAAGGGTCCAAGGACAGAGCCTTGGGGGACCCCTACAGAAAGAGGTAAAGGAGGGGAGGAGTTAGATTTGTAGTTGATACTAAAGGAGCGCTTAGATAGGTAGGACGAGAACGATGAGAGAGCAGAGTCTTGTAGGCCAAGCGAGTGGAGTTTTTTGAGGAGCAGGTGGTCAACAGTGTCAAAAGCAGCAGAAAGGTCTAATAGCAAGAGTAAGGAATAGTGGCCATTGGTTTTAGCTGTCAGTAAGTAATTAGTGAGTTTTAAGAAGGCAGTTTCAGTGGAGTGTAGAGAGCGAAAGCCTGACTGTAAGGAATCGAGAAGGTTGTTATCAGCGAGGTTTAACGCTTTATTTCAGAGGAGGTTGTATTAGATCACACCTATGCATCGTTGTATGAAAAAAACTTATTGCACCTCTTTATCAATAGATGACTATTTACTTGATCTATTGAAGGATAATATGTTGCGCTTGGTGTTAATTGTTCCCCCTAGTGTTCGTATCCTCATAAATGCTGTGATAATATTTTTTACCCTTGGTGAAGATAGTAATTGTAAAAATAATAAATTAATAAAAATGAAAGTTTAAAAGGTGGTGATGGTTGTGTTGTGATAACTATTAATTTGATAAATAAAAAACTTTAAACCATCTATTGTTGGGTGGTTATTTCTATCTATAGTCCGTGATTACTTTTATAGTGTAAAATATTCCCGAATCCGTGTGGCAGGGTCTAGTACGCCTCACTCCTCCAGAATTATTGTATAGTAATAAAGTGAGATGTAGCTGTGATCATAATATTAGTGCATATATAAACCACTTAAATAAAACACAAAAAATTATATTGTGCCAATGAGTGATCTACTTTTCACAAAGTGGATTCCAAAAGTGATAATAACCAATGGTTAGGTACACAACTCTCTATAAAGTCTAGAAAAAATATAATATTAAAAAACTTTCAATTATTATGGTATAGCCGCTATATACCACCCTGAGTCACCAGTTTATCTTCAATGTAGCAACTACTCGGTTAAACTGTAACACATATTCATTGTAGCAAGTAAGTGAACTGGATATAATCTCTTATAGGGAACCTATCCAGAGTAGAACGAAGCCACCCAGATCACTGCTGTTAATGCTTTCCTTCCACCTGTTTATTGGTTCAATCCCTCATTCATATCAAATATTCCAGCGATAAATTCCTCTTTTCTTAATATTTAAAGAGAAATAGGTATAGGTTGTCCACGTATCTGTCCTTCTATAGACCAAAATGAGGATAAGCCGAGTCCTTTCAGACCACATCAAAAAGGTAGGAAATCAAAATGTCTTTTCTTTCGTTCGGTCACAGAACTGACGGAACCACTCTTGTCATCTCTCTCCTCCGGTCAACTAGCACTCTGCCTCGACAGCGGCGCCGAACACCCACCGGGTGTAATTAGAGGCAGCACCGGGCAGTTCAGCAGAGGGAAAAAAAACAAGAGAGAAACAAATCTAAGTGCAGCAATCAGGTCCTTTTATTATGAGTAAAAAATGTTCGCACTTACAGGATTGAAGAGTTAAAAAGCATTTGAGTGTAAAGGACACCCAACCTTGTAGATCTTCCAGTATATCAGAGAAATGTTACAGCCTAAACCACAAAAACAAAAAGACCAATCTTTGCTATTTATTACAGACTTCTCCACCCAATATAAGGAGATTGAACAAATCATCCAGAAACACTGGCCTATTTTAATGAAGGACAAGATTTTAGGACCAGTGATTCAAAAAAAGCCCAAGGTAATATACAGAAGCGCCCCCAATGTCAAAAATCAGTTAGTACAAAATGTAGTTGACCCCTAAGAAAACCTTCTCTTTTTTTGAAGGAAAATGTTTTTTCCCATGTGGGAAATGCGTAGGATGCACAGTGACCGGCCAAAAAAGGAAATTAGATTTTCAATCCAATTTTAATAAACGGAATTTTAAAATAAGGGATTTTATTTCTTCCAAAAGCACACGTCACCTACATGCTGGAATGCCCTTGCGGACTCCAGTATATAGGGAGAACCACACGATAACTTAGAATTAGGATCAGGGATGCATATAAAAAACATTAAGAAGGGAAAAGTAGATCATAGTGTGCCTAGGCATTTTAAAGAAAAACATGGATGTAACCCTAAGGGAATATAATTTACAGGATTGGATAAAATAAAAAAAACAGTGGAGAGGGAACCACATGAAAAGGGAGGTCTCCAAGAACGAGACAAAATGGACCTTCCTCATGGAGACTTTGACTCCAAAAGGTTTAAATGTAGAACTAGACTTAAATTGTTTTCTGGCCGACGATTAAACCCAAATAGAGGGAGGCATAGACCATACAGAACAAAGAAGAGGCAAGGAGGACTCCATTGAGCTGAGATAAATATCACCCATGCTGTGGATTGTTAATAATAGGGAAATATCCTTCTCTGCTTATAATAAGCATACAAACCGTCAGTAAGATCCACCTGATCTCCTAAACACTAGTTATCTGATGCAACAATAATTGATTCACACTAATTATTGTAATAATAATTAGTTTGTATATATAGTATATCTCTTAAATAATTTCATTTAAATCATTGTCAATGTACATATAGGTCCCATGCTGTGGATTGTTATATGCTAATATTATGAGATATCATAAGAGATGCACCCTTTCTAGCTATATTAATCATCATAATCATTCTCCTCTGTTAGGAATTGAGATATTTATTAAGATTTTTCCAACTATTAATATAGATATAAGGAATTAATGATTGAGGGTATCAGTATAATTGAGACTATGGTTTTTATCCTTTTTAATTGTTAAAGAGCATGCAAAACATCTAACATCTTATTTATATACAAATAAGGAAATTTAAATATAAAAGATAAACAAAACCAATAGAAGGACGTAATATCACTACTAAGATTATGCACATTACCTTTATTGGTATCCCCATTTTTAAGCAATGCACCAGATTCAATTCTACAATGTCACCTCCTTTCTTATTAATCGGGATATCTACCACCAATTTAAAATATTCTAAATATTCTTTAATAATTTCTGTATAAACTTATTAAACACCATCAAGGTATGTATTATATTTATTTAATTACAATTATTTCTTGTGTGGAACTACTGAATAGGATGCCCACCACTGTTTTATAATTTTTTATTGTTTTAATATGTAAGAATGAGGGATACGTTCCAATAATAGAAGTTGCTATATCGAATTAGTCGATATAATTTTAATGGTGTTTAACAACATTTTTAACTATATTCATGTCACAAAAATAAATTTTATATACATTTTATATACAGACTGCCATTTTAAATAGTCGCTCTATGGTTTTAATATACATTGTATATTTTATATTCTTCTAATACTAACCCGTTTGGTTTAAATGTAATAATATGGAGATTGTGGCTGATATTGTACCAACTTTAGCAGTAACTGTGACGTGGTACACCTGCTATTACAGACGAGGTGCGCCCGGAAGCTAAATGAGATGAGTTGTAATTAACTGGGTTATACAAGTTCCGGTGAGAGATAGAAGATAGTACACTTATACCGGAAGATCTACAAGGTTGGGTGTCCTTTGCACTCAAATGCTTTTTAACTCTT